AGCAGGAAGTGCAACACTGAAATCAAATTCATATTCAAAATATGTGTCTATAATGGAGCCATTATGTATTTTGCTTTTCTTGGCCTCAAACTGAACAGGTCCTAAGAAACTTATGTGGATAATTTTGAGAATGATGCTGTGTGTTCTCTCTTTAATTCAGGAGAACAGGGTGACCTGTCATGCTGCCTACCATGGCACTCAGATAGCCCTTTGAAAGATAAACAAACTGTGGTGGAGAAGAAATGTGTATCTGATGACAGAGTTAGAACAAATTCAGACAGCCACACACACACACAACCCTCAGCAGCTCTAAGTTTAAGTATTTGTAATACTCTTTAAAGATCGTCATAGATGATAAATAAGGCCATGCTTTAAATAAGTTATTTGTCACACATGATTTCCTATGATGCAACTGTCTTGCCATCCAATCATCTGCCATCTTTGTTCTATCTGCTCATTCGCATAAAAGTGACAACAGTGCTTGCAGAGCAGCTCAGATCCAATTTTTCCAATGTGTACCTCCAGCTTTCCCTGAGGATCTACTTGCAATTGAATGCATTTATTGTGTCCTGGGTCTACTGGGGTCACTTTAGACACTAAACAGACTATCAGTACATACAGTACTAGAACATAAATACTTTAGTGCCCATGTATAAATGATTGTTACTGGTTTTCTTGGGTGCATGATGAATGTAAGACTTGTTATAGTCACAGCTATGGCATTTTCAGATTGTGATACATGAGAAATTCTACAGTCAGTGCTCTTGACTAAGACACTGGCTCAAATCTGGAGTTGGTCCCCAGGCACTGCACAGTGGCTGGCCACTGCCCATAGTAATTAGGATGGGTCCGAGAATGATTTTCCCTTCGAGGATTAATACATTTTAATAAAGCATAATTTAACTTAATCTGTGCATGTAACATTCACTTAAAGCATTTCTGAGTATGGGTTGTCTGTGCAGCTAATTTACAGCTTAAACTTCATGTGCATGAAACCATTTTACTAAGACAGACAGACAATTTTCCTGCAGACCGCACTTTGGGTTTGTTCAGTCATTAGTTCTGCACCCATTGACATACACATTTAGTTAATTTTTGTCTTTTTTTTTGTCTTTTTCGTTGTACGATGCACCTCTTCCCGCCCACCTTTACCCCCTGAGGTAATCAGGCTGAGCTGCCGTCCTTTTCTCATCATTAGCACACATCAAAGCTAATATGTTTTGCTGTACGACTCAGCAGGTTAGCATTCCTTCTTTCTATTCAGATGCAGCTCCGCATGAAACACAGCCATTACAGCTAACATTGCCTATTGCTACAGCAGAATCACATTGTTTCTTGCCACAGGCTAGAGAAGAGAAAAAAGAACAATGAAACAAAAGAACTTTATATAAAGCTAGTAGCGATTTGTGAAAAGAAAACCCAAGACCCATGTGTGTATATGCTGAAATATTCTGTGTAGGCCTATCAAATGTTATATGTTTATCAGTACATGCTAATAAGTACATTTGTGAGCGACAGACATGTACAGATTAAGATTTGCACAACAAAAGTTTATTAATGTTACTTTTGTGAGTGAGCATAGTTGCTCATTGGATTTTACAATGCATTGTGGTAAGTTGGAGCTGTCACTGGAATAATTTTAGGATTGCCACAGTACAGAAAGTGTGTGTGCCCCTGGGCAGCTCATTATTAACTACAGACATACATTTTCATGAACATATCAGTGTTTATTCAGATATGGTATTTTAGCCCTCGGCTTGGAGCAAAAGGCAGGATAATGCACTCAGCATGTCCCAGTTATATATGAGATACAATTATGACAAATTTCATGCCACATGTATATGTATATGCACTGCTGCTATGCAACAGTTGTATCATATTTTGCTTATGCTTTGAAGGCATACAGTGTACAAAAGCAGAGGGAGCGAATAATATGCACATACACTTTCTTTTACTGTCACTCTCTCATTTACTGTACGCATACACACACTTACACAAACACACCCACATACACACAACACACACAATTTTTTTGTCAACTAACACAAAGCAGAATGGGCTAAGCTGTACAACTTATCTGCCTCTCGGTGTTAAGTCTTAAATGTTTATTAAAGAGGAAGTTAAGCAAAGAGGCTTTTTCAAACCCTAAGAAGCTAATGGGCATCGATATTGTTTTCCACATCTAATCGGATTTCAAAAGTGCAGTGATGTTTTTTTTCTCTCTTCAACATTAGTGGTTTTGGAAAATGTCCATTTGAAAGATGAAAGATTACTGTCAAAACTCTTGTTGATCCATCCAGGTACACTGTGGAGTCTAAAGTAAACTAATGACCTGTTTGGTTAAAGGTCTTAAAGAAGCTTTGCAGTAGCCTCTTTCTGGAAGTTGTTTGGCCGATAACAAATAATAAATCATGCTGATTTCTTCTTCGTATATTTGCCCTGAGATGGATTGTTTTTGTTGGGAAGTCATGTACTTTGCACTTTGAAAAGAGTTGACAATGTAGCATCTTCTCTGGGAATTGATCTGGTTGTAAATAGACAGAAAATGATGCAGACAGCCCTGACACATGGCAGTCTGTCAAAACATTTGCTTTGGACTTTTGTTACATTTAATGTTGGACTGTCTGGAGCTACAATTGAAAGGTTGTAGACAAAAGTATTTATCTGTTGCCTCGGAAACCTATAAAAAAGCTGCTGCCAGTTACAGCAGTTATAAATACAGCAGCTATTTATTTCTTACACAGTTGTAAGTGCAATATCCAGTGGCCCCCAACATCAACACTTTATACATTTTTGCTGAGAAACCTCGACAAAGCAAATGATCTCAATAAAATGAGAAGTAGATACAGATACAATATCTTGAATGCTTGTCTCTAGTTAGTCAATAGAAAGTAAAAGTCATGTACGCCACTGCTTAAGTTCTCTAACTTGATATAGCCTTCTTTAAATGCGTCAGTCCTACGGCACAGAGAGTCTTTGATCTTCTGGCAGAAGTTGGGAGCTGTTCTGGTGGGGGCACCCGGGTGACATGTTGGTACACGTTGTTGGAAAGCCTCTGTGCTGTTCTGTGCACACAGCACGGCTCTTGTGTGCCTTCATAACAAGCCAGTTAATCTTTAATCTTTTTAATTAGACATTTAATGTCAAGTTATTAACAAGAGACCCCCCACTGTCTCCTCAGCCCTAAGATGAACTATTTCAGGTTTTAGCATTAGGACAGTTATGTGGACTGCAGTGTTTGTTTCCTGCCAGGAAACATCTGACTATAAGTCACTTTATGGCTAATTTTGGAGCAGCATCCATCTGCATTGCTCCAAAAAAACACTAGATGTCTCTTTAGGTTCATCAGTGCCTCTATCTCATCTGCAGTGGTCTCCCTTCACTGTTGCTTCAAGCACAGTGTTTCAACCTGTGCCACTGACAGCAAGATGACACTAGAGGACAGTGTCGGCTTCGTTTTTTCCGTTTCGTTTCCTAGGCATCACTACAAACCAGCTGTGTAGGTTGGTTTTGAAAGACAGACCAATAGGAATTTGGCTTTCATGTTTAAATGATCACCATGTTTTTGCTTCCTTTAGACATTTTAACACAACTATTGCTTTAATTAAGAAATGGAACATCATGCCATGTTTCTTAACATCATAAAATGCATAGTTATTGTTTTTCTTATTGCTACATTCTTGGAATAATGATTTCAAAGAGAATGTGTGACTGATGATACATCCATATTTATCCAGACTGAACATCAGTACAATGTAGGAATACATATACTGTAATATGGCACTTCTTTGACATACGCTCAACCGAACCCAAGGCTCTATACCCTTATGAGCAAACATGTGCCATGCATGTGAATGTGTGTGTGTGCGGGGGAGTGAGTTACCACTGTATCCTCCACTAGCCACCTCTCACCCCCCTCAACATGCACCATGTGTTAGATCAGGCCCCTGAATGAGTATTCATCCCGGGTGACCGGGTGTCCTGGATAGTAATCGGCAATTCCCCAAGCTAGAGCACACAGTACTCTGTTGCAGTCTGCACACAGCGCATAACTATGCTAACCCACAGTGATACTAGCAGCAGTGGGACACAGAACACAGGTGAGTGAAGACCAGCAATGGAGTTCAACCAACTCACTTGGAACAAAGTTGGTATATTTTCAGTGTAGTTTTCTATTTCATGCCCACTTGGTAAGTTGGCAGACTTTTTGTTGCAGGATTAATTTGGGTTCCGAGATTCCGCTGTTAAAGTTTACATGCTCTAATAACCCAAGGTTAGGTAATTTCTAGGTAATGAGGTGTGTGCATGCCTGTGAGTGTGAATGTGTGTGATAAACTTTGCAGTGCTACTTTGCGTGCAATTAATGCTCCAGGCACTGTGCTCATCTCTGCTTGATTCTTTTCTTCAAAAGCAGAAGTTAATGAGAGTAAAATCTAATTATATGCCTGTTTATCACCTGGACACTGCTTTGTCGGTCTGTGCTGCTTTTGGCCTTTCACAGCAGCTTCACTGCATGAATTGGGTTTCTAAAAATTACTGCTACATGGGGATTATTAAGATCCTTGAATTTTAATTAATAGTGACAATTACAAAGGTGACTGATTATTGAAAAGGAATGGCATGGAAAAACTGGAATTGTTACAGAAAAATGTTCTTGTTTTCTTGTTTGTTTTATACCAAATTTTCTTTGTTTTATTAATTGTTGTACAGGCAATGGTGCTCGCCACATTTTACAATCATTGACATGTGAAATATTTTTAATTTGACCAAATGAAATGTTTTCTTTTTGTTCCAAATCTAGACATATTACAAATCGTTGGTTTCCAACACGTATTCATTTTTCCAATGCAAATTTGTGACATTGATTAAAACCATGTCTGTTTTATTGTATATGCATCAATGGCTGTTAATCTCTATTGACACCTTACATACATCCAGTGCCATCTGTGACACTATTTTACAAAGTAACACCAAGGTAACTGTGGCTGTAATTCTGACCCTTTTATCCAAATTATCATAGGTCCAGAGTTGTTTATATTAATTGAACTCATCTTCAATGTAACTGTGAATTATACTTTTTTAATTCTAAAAATAGTTGACTGGATTATTAATAGTGTCTTTGATAAATTTAAGTGAGCATTTTTTTTGTGTTGTTAGAGAAGCTTCTGAATCAGTACTGACACCTCTGTATACTTTATACTGTCCATTATTAAACCTGCTTTTTACAGTAAATAAGTGTATTCTTAACTTTACTTTACTTTACACACTTTCATAGAAATCTGTGATGATATATTATATAATGTTTGCCTGATTTATTGGCTGGACTATCATCTGTTTAGCCCCACAGCTTAAATTGTTGGTTTGCCAAAAACAAAGTTGTTCTCATTGTTAAACTTAAGTATTTTTTCCTTTCTCTAATAGGACATGGGAATCATAAAGAAGACAGCCCATTTCTCAGCAGTACAGATGCTGCTAGCAAGAAGAATGACTTCTATGACAAGAACCTGGCTTTGTTTGAGGTCTGTTATTCATACTGTCCAATATTTCTTTCAGACAATAGACTCAAACCACACTCATTAACCTCTTCCCAATTCCTTCCACCAGGAAGAGCTGGACATCCGGCCGAAGGTCTCCTCTCTGCTCAGCCGCTTGGTCAGCTACACCAACATTACCCAGGGAGCCAAGGAGCATGAGGAGGAGGAAAGCGCTCAGGCCTCACGTAGGAAGACACCCAAGGTCAGGAGTTGGGGCCACAACGGTGGAACACTATGTCTCACTGTTTTTATCACAAGTACACTCAGTCTTTTGAGGTCTAGAAACATTATCCTCTACCTCTGGCTTTCTCCCTGCCACACTATCCAAATTCTAGTTTTGTATTAAGACTTGCTGATTGATTGCTATTACCTTTTGCACGCTCTGCAGTCAGACAGTGACTGTGTAAGACCTGCATACATGGAAAGAGCTGATAACATGATTGGATGACCTTTAAAAAGTACATCAGTCAATACTAATGATCAATATGCTTGTTTCCTGAAATGTCATGGTCAATATACTCCCCTCTTTCTCTCTTTGCCCCGCCCTTCCTCTAATCCCTCTTTCTCTCTATCAGTCTCCCAACATGGGCACTCTGATGGGAGTCTACTTGCCGTGTCTCCAGAACATTTTTGGTGTCATTCTTTTCCTCCGACTGACATGGATTGTTGGGATGGCTGGCATCATGCAGTCCCTTCTGATTGTCCTCATGTGCTGCTCATGTGTTAGTATGCGCACACACACGCACATACTGTACACAGACACGCACACTATTATGCTGGGTTGATTCCACCAACAGTGTGGGCCAGCTTTTATTGCAAAACCAGTCTATCGAATCCACATGGTTGCATAAGCAGCAGCAATTACTTAAGGCAAAGAATGTTGCTTTTGACATTACTTAACATGCTGCCATTACTTTTCTGACACAACAAATACTGTGGTCTTATTAACTTCCAGGCCGCATATGCTAAATGTTTAGGAATATGCTGTCCTAGATGGGAGCTGTGCTTCCTTTCAGCTGTCAATTTTATTAGAGGATATTTATTTAACACTATGTGGGCCCTTCTCCATATCAATCATATCATTTCCACTTTCCTCTGCAGACAATGCTCACAGCCATATCAATGAGTGCCATTGCTACTAATGGTGTTGTTCCAGGTAATACTTTGAATCGTGTTCGTCCATTGTATTCACTGAAAAAGTCCCTCAGCATACATTTATCCAGCATATATCTACTACTTAGTACTATAAATACTTTTGTAGCCTGTTTTTAAAGTTCTTTAAAAAATAGTTCTTAATATTTAGACATAAACTGCTTTGACCTAGATATCTCTAGACTACTGTAGAAGTAAAAGTTTCCTTTACATACTCTTCCACTTGGGGGCAGCAGAAATTTACTGTTGTGTCGACTGCATGCAGTACAAATGATGTGCTCTGTGTGGGTAACAGTTTGTGTTACTGTTGTAGCTGGAGGGGCATACTTCATGATCTCACGCTCCCTTGGCCCTGAGTTTGGAGGAGCTGTGGGACTGTGCTTCTACTTGGGCACCACTTTTGCTTCTGCCATGTACATACTGGGGGCCATCGAAATCTTCTTGGTCAGTTTGCTAAAACATTATTCTGTGGTTATATTCCAGCTCAAATTGTATTAGATATTCTTCCTGAACACTGTCCTGTTTTAAAATATATCAATCATTACATACATTTTATATATACTGAATACTGTCCTGTTTAATATTCTGTCCTCAGAAATATCTGGTCCCCCAGGCGGCCATCTTTCACGCCACAGACTCTCCTGGGAGTGACAGTGCCATGTTGAACAATATGCGTGTCTATGGCTCTATCTGCCTCAGCCTGATGGCTGTGGTGGTTTTTGTAGGAGTGAAATATGTCAACAAGCTGGCCTCTCTTTTCCTCGCCTGTGTCATTATCTCTATTGTCTCTATTTATGCTGGGGCAATAAAGTCCATGACTCATCCGCCAGAATTCCCGTAAGTCTGCAGTGCAGGTTTGTTTGAATAAAAAATACTTCTTAACATGTCAAATTAGTGGTTTTTATGGGGCGAGAGAGTGCACATTTTGAATTCATTCCACATATAGAAATAATACATGATTTCCCACTATTATTTAGTTTTTTTTAGTTTTGTTATGATTCTGTCTTCCATCTGACACCAATTACTTGCAGTGTGATTTTTCCAGTCAAATAGTTAGATATTTCCTTTTAAAGCCACAGTCTATTCTATCACCATGAATGTGTTAAAAACACACTGGACTAACTTTTGGTTATGATTATGAAGAAGGGGTGTATGATGATAATGATGATTAACAAATAATAATTACGTTTTTATCCGTATTATTGTTGTAGGATCTGCATGCTGGGAAACAGGACTTTGGTGAGAGATCGTTTTGATGTGTGTGCTAAGACTGTGATAAAAGGAAACATCACAGTGCCCAGTCAGCTGTGGGACAGGTTCTGTCTCCCGGGAAACATGAGCAGCGCTCAGTGTGATGAATACTTCATCCAGAACAATGTGACAGAGATACCGGGCATCCCTGGACTGGGCAGTGGGATTATTAGAGGTAAATGTATCATTAAATGACCAGGGATTAAAGTATACAGAAATTATTTTTGTTAGATAATAAAGGTAACAACTCTTAATGCTTTATTATTATTATAGACATATAGATTAAAGGGTAAAACAGGGTTAATATATGATAAGCATATGGGTCCCTTTGTATTTTGCACATT